ATACTTTCCGTACCCACTGTATATATATATATATGTGTGTGTGTGTGTGTGTGTGTGTGTGTGTGTGTGTAGGTTTTGATATTTACTTCAGTGTGTTGTGAAATATGTTCTAGTCTGTGTGTGTGTGTGCGTGCGTGCGTGCGTGTGTGTGTGTGAGGTAAATGGTTAATAATGATGACTGATCAGTAGACTTGAGGAGTCCCTTCACTCTCAGCCAATCACAGAGCAGGTCTGGATTACAGAGGAACAGTCTTCACCTGTTCCAAAATGGGCCCTTTTCCCTTCTGAGATCTGAGATTCCCTTCCCTTTTCACCTCTGAGATAACGTGAATCCTGCTGATTCAGTCCTGTTCATCATCTAAATGTCTCTGGCATTTCAAGCAATAGTTTAGATTAATTTATTCTTCATCCATCTTCTCCTAATTCTCCTTCCCTCTTGTTATTTTTCTTCACTCGCTCACTTTCTCTTCTACAGCACCTGGAATTTATGGTCGAGGCAGTCCACGGTACTAAAGTTGAGCTTCCAGGCCTGCTGGTCCTTGTAGTCCAGGCAGTCTACGGAACTGAAACCCAGCGAGGAGGTGCTGTATCCTTGGGAGGAGAGGGAGGGTGACTGGCTGAGCGAGCCGCCCATGGAGGGCACGGTGAGGGGAGAGAGGGCGCCCCCACTTGCAGACAGCTGACTGGTCATGGGGGAGAGGTACGGGCTGCAATCTAATCCACTGAAATAAGGAGAGGAGCTGTAGCCCTGGCTATAGGTGGAGGGCTGACCATAGCTCATAGGATAGGGAGCAGGGCGATGCACACAAGGTGTGCCGGAGCCACACAATGGGTCAGGAAGGGGGGATAGAGAGGTGGGACTCCACACAGAAACTGGTGCTGTGCCTGTACTGGCACTAGGGGGCACGGCTGGGGCAGAGGCAGCCGCCACTGAGGAGCTGGCACCAGGGTCAGAGGTCAGTTCAGAGGGTGGAGAGGACTTCTTTTTAGGGGGACGGGGCTTGGGCTGACCGCTGGTCTGCTGTTGCTGTTGGCGGCATTTAGCACGACGGTTCTTGAACCAAACCTGAGGGAAATAAGATTGAGGTTAAAGGTGGAAATAAAAGTTTGCCTCATTTCGCTAAAGGTCAAAATGTACTTGTTTCTTTTATATACTGTACAAATCTCATGCTTTATTATCAGGCCTGCAATATTAATCGGCCTCACAAACATAGACTGTCAGAGTTGTGTTTCTTTTCAATACTTGAGACTCAACTATTTAAAATAGATTCAATTTCAAATGCACACATGGTGCATTATTTAGCTGAAGATGAATGGTTTACTTGCATCAAAGCAAATGAGTGTTAGATGCTGGGATTAATGTATTTTATTATACTTGAAATGAATGATCTGTTTCTGCTACCTAAGACATAATGCCATGTGTGTTTAGAATAATGTTAGGCAGTCTGAAAGGTGTCAGAGAGATGTTTGTCTCAGTTTGAGGCAGACAGGCTCACCTGAACTCTGGACTCTGGAAGGTTGATTTTCAGAGCCACCTCTTCTCGCATGAATATGTCTGGGTAGCGTGTTTTGGTGAACAAGGCTTCCAAAATGTCCAGTTGGGTCCGTGTGAAGGTAGTGCGCTCCCGACGCTGCTTCCTTGGAATGGCTATTTATAAAAACATTGACATTACACAGTAAGAAACAACTTTAAGTTTTTTCAGTTGAAAAAAGGAATGTACATTTACAGTAAAAGATAAAACTTTTTGTATTTAGATATAGATGGTATCAGTTTTAATTGTTTAATGTGAGCTTATAACAGTTAATAATATGGTTGATGTTGGTGAGAGAAAGAGGGAGGGGCTTGGACTATCCATTGTCAACATACAACATAGATAGATAGATAGATAGATAGATAGATAGATAGATAGAATTAGGGCTTTATTCATATTTACATTCTGAACCCATTCAGCTTTATTTTTATTCTTTATGCAATACTAGTATGATAATTAATTTATTTGCAACAACAGGGAACCAAACGCGCAAATTTTAAAGCTAGAATTAAACCGTTCATAATTGGCTATAAAGTAACTTTACATAATAAACAAGCAAACACACGATCGCTTTAAATTAAAACTTTAAATAAAAGAATGTTGGTTACATAAAATTTTTAATAATTTTATTAAAAAAAAACTCTAACGTTTTACAAAAAACCCTCAAGATGAGTTTCAAATATACATTTTACATGGATTTTTATATAGTTATTATTTGTTAGAATGTGGGTAGTACGTTTGTTACTACGTGAGCAAGTCCAGTTAATGTGGCTATCAACTGGTTATATTATATTCAATTTACGTTGCTTAAATTGTAAGAAAAAATGGGGTAGGCTAACTCATCTAAAATGAAACAGGACAGATGAGGCTACCTTTCAGTTTTGCTTTTCTCCTCTCTTTTGAGTTCCCTGAACACCAAAATTAATCAAATGTCTGACACAGACATATTATAAATGATTAATACGAATGAACTGACCTGGGTAGCCGACGGCGGTGTGGAGCAGGTCCATTCCTGAGGCGGACGGCGTTAACCCGTTCACAGCATAATGGGGCTGCTTTATGTAGGACATCATTCTTGGGACGGCCGCGTCTCTCGCACACTCTCTCTATTGCTCTCTCTCTCTCCCTTCCTCTCTCTCACTCTCTTTTTTCTCTGTGATGCTTTTTTTACGGGTTGGGGGTCGCGCTCTGCTCCTGATGGTCGCGTGTCTGTGCTGGCGCTTGGCGCGTGCGGTGCTCCTTCAGTCTCGCGCCTCTCCAAACACCTGTAGATTCTGATTCTTTCCCGCTTCTCAGTGTCTTGAACAAGCGCACCCTCTTGCCCAGGTTTAGCAATGTCATTAATAACGCCCTGAGTATCAAAGATAAGCGTGCTCTTTTAATGTGAAGTAATAGTAAAAGTAAAGCCTATTCTCCACAAAAGTTTTAGACTCTATTTCAGAGTTGTGGCGTTGGTTAAGGCGCGTGTCCCTTGGGCAGGACCGGACAGGAGCGGGACACTATGAGCAATAAGACACCAAGCAGCTAATCAAGGGCCATCTCTCTCTCTCTCTCTCTCTCTCTCTCTCTCCTCCGTCATTTGACGTGTAGCCTTTCTTAACACGTGGTATGACAATAGACATGTTTATTTTACTTAAAATATAAGGTAAAAGTGCAAAATCAGTAGATTATGATGGGTTGTCTGATTGGGCCTGGTTGTCTGGTTATGACATAACCATTCGATTTTCGAACGGTTTGTTTAAACTATAAAACAATTTATTTCGTTTTTTATTTTGAAACCAATATAGTAGCAAATAAAAATTGTAAAGATATATCGAAATATGGAGAATATTGCCTTTAAAAAAATGAACAAGGATCCGGGCAAAAAAAGGCCGAGGTCTCAAAATGCCGCAGATATTTAAAATATTTAAAATGTTTAGATATATTTAAAAAATATTTATAATATATTTAACTATATTATAAATAGATTTTAAAATGTTGTGTATAGGGTGTTTTAATTAAAACGTTTTTTTTTTTCATTATATTATCTGGGTCTGTGTGGTTTTAGGAACCGTAGGAACCATTAATTGATTCATTTGAAGCAAATGTGATACGCTGTAAATGAGATGTTTTAGAAAAATGGGCCCTCACAGTAAATATACCCCTGAAAATCACTTTCAGGGGGCAGAAATCGTTCCCTAATAATAATAATATAAAACATTCATTTTATTTCTATTTTATATAGCCTAGGCCTATTCTATTTACAACTTGTGCAGAAGCTATTAACCATTAATTCCACATGAATAGAGTGTTTTTTCGTCGTATGTTGATCGGCGCTGCGCAATTGTTCCATCTTTAAAGAAACCACACTATAATAGTTTAAATGTCAGATATTAGACGAAAGTGTAATTTGAATCTCACAAATAAGACACTCTGAAATTTAATTCGTTCATCGAATGTGTTTGTTTTTTTCCGGTTATTAATATTAATATGTAAGAAAAATTTTCTTGTGGACATTTTCTTGCTCGGTCCTGTTAACACTTCTGCATAACAACATGTATAATATAAATAAATTATTTTTTAATTTATCATTTATTTGTATATCTGTTACTTTATTGCAATTACGTGATTAACTTAAAATCCTTTATCATAATTTCTTGACTGAATACAAAACATAAAAGCAGCATAATACCACTAAAAGATTTGACTCCACATTTGGCATAATAATGATTTGTAAAACATCTCAAATTTAGTGTTATTCTTTACACTTTATTTTGGACCAGACACACATGCATACATAGCCTACACACAGTTATGAATTATCATAATATGCTTTGTGTGAATAGTCACTTAACCTAAAGAGAGGAAAGAGAGATTTCTCATCAGGAGGGAAGAAGAATAGCTGGAAGTTAAGAAATGTGTGGATAAATGATGAATAAAACAAAACAAAGACAGAATATTATCTTCACCAGTGATGGAGGCCTGATTAAAGAAGAAAGGATAACAGCCATGTGTAAGGTTGTTGACCAGTTCTGATGCAGGAAAGGATCCATATTTGCTGTATGGAGCTATCTGAAAATTTCATTAAAATGTATTATAGAAAGAGAAAATGGAATGTTTTATTTGAAAGTATTATGTGTTTGAGTGTAAACATGTTAGTGAGAGAGAGAGAGGGAGAGAGGCTAGGAAGGCGTTAAATGGCACTCAAGATGAACTGAGTGTGATAGGTTGCCTTAAAACAGACACAGTGCAGACAGGGTTATTTGACTGTGACTGAGGTAGATGTCATTCCTCCTAAGTACAGCCAAGGAACAAAGGGCAACAAAGAATCTTCATATTCCCTTAACTATTATGACAAGCTTTTCTCTAAATGACAAAAATATACTTGTATTATCTTGCCTAAAGATGTGCATGTATTGAATACAAGAATGAGAGACTAAAAATGTCTACTGTATTTGGTGACAAAAAGCAGCAGAAGATTTGCTTTGGATTCTATCAGCTTGCTTTACCACATACAAGTAAATAATTTCTTTTTCTTTTTTTAAAGGTAATTTGAAAAAGAAATATGAGCTGGAAAGACATCTCAGTTGAGTGGTCAGATGTTAAGAGGAAATGCAAACCCTGTTCTTATTCAGAATCAGGATTATTTTGCGATACATATATAAAAATAACATTTTTAAAAAGCATTTATATTGGTGGGCCTTCACCTTATAAACTCAATAATGTAGAAAAAAACTTCCAGTTGTCCACCCCTTTAATCAGCCTCTAACCAACGGTTCTCAATAAAAATTATTTTAAAAATTATAATAAAACGATAATAAAAATTTGAATATATATTGTAATATTTTGTGAAATATGCAAGTAAAGCATTGACATAGCTACAATTATTTCGTTTGTCAAATTTCAGGACCTACAAATGTATATATATATATATATATATATATATATATATATATACAGTATATATCTATATATATATATATATAGACAGTAGAATGGTGAAATACACTATTTATACAATTTCAAAGCTCTATAAGCAGGTTTTATAAGTAGTATTTCTTTATTTCATTGCAGAATTAATCATTCAACATAGAATTAATGAGATGATAGACAATATCATTCCCAAACAACAACTGTTTTTTTATGTTTGTCTTTTTATTTATATTACTAACTAATAATCAGTCTAGTTTTCTTGTAATTTTTAAATCATTTGCTCAGATTATAAAACTGTAGAACATGCCTGTATTTCAGTGGTTGTTATTGTTGTTTTGTGTAAAAGCAGTTTAAAAAAAGAGACAATTTATTGTTGTTGCTCTGTGTCAGTGTAAGATGTTTGTATGTTTATGTGTTCAGGATCTGGGCTTGTGTGCTTGCAGAAGGGGAAGTTTTGTGGAGGGTGCTGCAGTGGGGGTGGGGGGACCAGTCCGTCCATCTGGCAACAACCAGCTACGCAGGCACAAGAGCAATTATGGAAGTGGACAAAACTCTAATCCGCAGGCACACACACACACACACATACACGGCCGACACAGTGACGCTGCAACAAACATTTAATCTGAGTGAAGAGTTGGATAGATGAAATAAACAAAATGTTCCTATGCAAATAGAGGTAAAGGAAGGAAAAATGTGAAGATGGATTGGGGTGAAGGAGGGCGAGTGAGGTGACAGATAGAGAGAAAGAAAGAGAGAGAGAGGGAAGGAGGGAGGGAAAGAGAGAGGGGTAGTGGGCCGCATCATTGCAGGCACACTGCATCAGTTAATCCAGATTAGGCAGTCTAAAAAGGAGCGGCTTAATATGCAGGCCAGCCAGTAATACACAGACCGCTGTCAGCACCAATCACTCACACAGTTATAATCCCCAAAGAAACGCACACGCCGGACACACGCACACATACACACACGCTCTCTGAACAATGTGAGTTAAGCATGCATATATAAAATATTTCTCCACAATCAAACAACAGATTCATCCAAAACTTTGAATCTGTGCTAAATATGTGTACAAAACTTTTTCCAACTGTAATCCCTCACAAAGTGAGTGATTGTAATCACTTTACAAGTATTTAAAACAACTGCTGAGCAATTTCTAATGCAGTGTGTAGATATTTTTCTATTGGAAGATGTTGTGATGAGGCAGTTACTTTCTGATAAGGACAATAAATCCCATTGTGGACAGACTTTGGGTCACAAATTAAAGGGGTTTTAATGTCAGTGGGGCTGTATGCTGAGGGCCCCAATAACTGATTGACAGCTTGTCTGGCCCTCTAGTGGAGATTCTGTCCATTTATCTTGATTCAATTCAGTTCAGTTTAGTTCACGTCAAGTTTTGGTTGATATGACAAACAAAAGTTTACATTTCCAGTGCATACACACAATAAAGGTAATACAATTCAGTAAGTTATTGATTTGTACATGAATGTGTGCAAGTATTGTATCTAAATGTGCAAAATGTAATGAAATTGAGTGTCTGTGTGTGTGTGTGTGTGTGTGTGTGTGTGTGTATATGTGTGTGTGTGATTTTGGCTTCTGCAGTTTACTTGTATCAGTTTTATGTCCAATAATTCAGTATGCTTTCCATTCATTTGAGTAACAAAATTTAAATAGTATCTATTAATATTAATTAATTGATGTCTAATCTAGTTAATCTAATCTGTGTCCCTTTGGAATATCATACATCAGAAGACGGATATTTAGTTATGCAAAATCATACGTTTAGATTGCCTTTGTGGTCATACTACTCATTTTAATATAATTTAATTAAGGCTTACAGCATTTAGCCTAACAAAATAAGTATCTTTTTCCAAACTGCAAATTATGATGTTGTTATGGCTTAATTAACTTGTAGCATTTAAAACGATATAGCCTACAAAATTGTCGCCCAGAGTTTTTTATTCAGTTGTAATTCATTGTGATGGCTGCCAAATGAAATATCGTGTTTTGAATTTGTGGTATAGTTCATATTTTTCATATGTATACAGGCACATTTAGACAAAAGCATACATGATTAAAAGTATAGTGTTAAATAAACAAAGTTGGAATGAGTTAATGAATGCAATTTCGCCCCCTGTAGGGAGGACACATTTCTTCTTCATCCGAAACAGAAATAAATGATTAGCACAGTAGCATTATCCTCCCACTGGTTTCAATTTATTGCATCTCAACCACTGAAAGAATTAGACAGAAAGGCAATGAGCAAGAAACAAACTGGTGTAAAATATTTGCCCTTTCTCACGTAAGTGTTGATATCATTGTCGGCGACAGCTGATGACGACACCTTCATGTCGAGATCTCTGTTCCCTCTCATAGGTAACTTCAATGCTGCGATGACGTGATCACTTTGGGAACACTTCCGGTGTGACGAATGTCTGAAGCCATTATACCATCACGCCAATTTATTGATGGTAGAAGAGAGCATTGATCAGAAGAGCGT